CGTACACCCAAACACACCAGGCTATCATCTTACGATCTGTTTCACAACCTTGTAGGGCACTTATCCATTGTTCTTATGTTGTGGTGGCAGAAGTTCCCGACTCTCCGGCAGCGTCGGTACCCTTTCGACCAATATCCTCATGTCCTCATGTCCTCATGTCCTCACGTCGTGGCCCGTGCTGCAGACGGTCCGGTGTTCTCGACACCGAAAAAGGAGCTAAAAAAAGGTGGTGAAAAAGGCCAACGTGCTGGACAAGAAGAAGACGGCCTCGCAGATGCAGCAGAGCTCCGACGCGCAGGGCGTCGGCTCGGGCTTCTCAGAGCAGCAGGTCAAGGAGCGCGTGGAGGACGCCGTCGCCGCTGCCACCAAGGCATACGTGAGTCGGCCTAGTGTGGCAGCCGGTTGGTGTGACGTCCTGGGCCCATGGTCGTGTATTGGCGTGGGTGGGAATCAGCGTACTGACGATAGTACGTGTGGTGACCCAGGATTAAACATATAGGCGATATAGGTGTGGGGCCCAGAATTGTCGTTTTTAAAGTGCTGGCCGCTGTCTCGCTTTCAGATAAAAATGAAGCCATAACATCGTAAGTTTTCTTTGCAGAAGCTTTTGCAGGTTAGATGACGCCACTGTTTGTGTAGTTTGCATGGTGTCGGTCGTGCTTTATGTGAACATGTATATGCTCTTCACTTTTTTCCTCCTCACTAATAGCACAGTAATTTACCAAGTGACATAGAATGATACCGATGATATTTCCTGGTTAATTTTAGTCACTTCTTTGCTTCCAGAAAAATCACCTTTTTTGGTATCCAGTGTCGGTCCGAATGTTGCAGAACAAGTCACAGTGAGCACTGAGCTCAGGTGCATTGTTTCGCAATGCTCGACCCTAATGACGGCGCCAAAATACTGTCCCCAACCACCCGCAGAAAAAAAAAACTAATGAAACTCTTGAAGCGAGGAGCTGCCACGTCTGCAGACAAATGTAACACAAATGATTCCGCTGGTTCGCTGTGCTGGTGGTCTGTGAGCGATGCATGACACTTTCCTGGTCTGTTGCCAGGGGCTTTTCGACTTGTTTGACAGGGACTGTTAGACTTTCGACAACTTTTTAACATATTATGAGGATTCGCTGCTATGTGGACCGATCGCTCATGCCTCATAGCATAAGCGCGGCATGTAGTGGTTTACTTTCCAGAAAAGGAATCGTATACCTTCGTGATTGTTCAGATGTTTGTACGTTTGTTGGCGTATGAAGGGCTGGGACAAAGTGAAAGTCTACATTTACTTCCCATCCGTGGATTTCACTTGCCGCAAGATGCAATCTGCTCGCGTTGCTCAATGGTTCACAATGTGTGGTTCAATGTGTACTGCACCGAATGGTGCTGCTGCCCCGGTACCACCAAGTATGTCCTCCGCCATTGCACCGCCGAAATCGGTCCTTCCCCTCCTCCGACCCCCCCCCCCCCCCCACACACACACACAGACACTGCCTTCCCCTCCGACGCTAGTACACTGCCGTCCTCTGTGACCCACCGTTCCCTCCCCTTCACTGTTCCCTACTCTCTGATCCATACCCTGCCGTTCTTTCCGACCCACACCCTCTTGCTCGGTCGCCATTTCCGACCCAACGCCCTCTAGCTCGGCCGCTATCTCCGACCCACACTCTCTCACCCAGCCGCTCTCTTGCTAACCTAGGACAAACGCTTCGACGACCTGATGATGGAAATGCGGAAGATGAAGGCGGTGATCGTGAAGCACGACGACAAGATCCAGAAGCTGGGAGGCGCGGCTGGCGGGCAGCGGCGAGTCGTCGCCGCCCAGCGCCGGCCTCAACACGCTGCAGGTGCCTCCGGCCGACGAGCTGGCGCCGGACGAGGTGTGAGGGCGGCGCGCGCCCGCCGCCGGCCGGCCCGGCTCTGCGCCCGCACTGCACCGCCCGGCGTCCCGGCGGCGGCGTCAACCCCGCGCCGGCTGTGTGATATTGGCCGGCCAGCCCGGCCGGCGCGTCCCTCACAGCGCTCCGTCTGTGTGGCGTGTTTTCTACAGCTAACGCCTTCTCGTTATGTACTAATTTTGTATAAACTGTTTGTTGTATGCGTTATTTTAGCGGTAGTGCAGTGAGCCACCGGCGACATTGCCGGTGGGCGTGACACTGCTAACAGCGGATAACAGCAAGACCGCCCGCCGCGGCCGCCACCAGTGATCGTGTGCGAGGTGTTCAAAAGGTAGCATTGAATCGTGGGTCGTGCGCGACGGTTAGGGCATACGCCACCGTCTGATGCGCTCGCCATAGCGTCGCCAATGGAAACGTCACTCCGTTCTGAGATCGCCAATCATGTCGCCCAGCGTTGGCGGAGTTCACCAATTACGTAGCCCCGACTTTGGGCTCGCCAATCACGTCTCCAATTCGGAGTTTGCCAGTCATGTCAAAACGATAGCTTGCGGCAGCAAATTGATGTTTTGTCGATGGTGAATTCACGTGACGTTGTGTGCTAATTTATTGTAACATTCGTTATAAAATGATCGGTGATGCAATACAAAGTTAAGCAAGGCTTTGCCAGACAGCTTCTACACCCATTTCCGAACAGTTCAGGTGTGTCGTGCCCAGATAGTCGCGCGCTCCCTTGCTGAGTTTAGGCCTAACCTCTATTGTGGAGCGAACGTCACAACCTCATGGTGAGTTTCGGACGCATTCATTGTTTTTCCCTGAACTTGGGGTGGAGTGGAGCGCCACGGTGCAGTATCACAGGGTGCCAGAATGTCAGAGGCCCGGCCTTCGTCGATTCTACAAGTGTGAATCCATTTATAGGGGGTGTTTCACATTTGTATGGGGTTTGCAGCTGAAACAGCCATGCTGAAGGTCAGTCGGTGCAGTTTGCAGCCCTGCCTTCTGAAGACCTTGACCCTTTTAGTTTTAGGCTAAGCGCCTGCGATAATGTGCACACTTTTTGAGGCCACCCAGTCATCCATGACGCCATAAGAACGTCATTCAATCTTTCCATTCCATTGGCCTTGGCAGCGGTCAGGGCCAAGCAAATATAATCGCCTTGTCGTTCACATCTGTCGTTCGTGAGTACGGTTTCCAGATATGGCTACCGCCAATTGTCTCTCAATCCGTACGGGGTATGATGTACGTAATCAAGCAAAGACGGATTGAGGAGCATATTTGCTTAGCAGGGAAATTGGGTTGCCTAGTGGAGCGTTTTCTACGTAAATGTACACATAGTTCACATAGTTTACATACGTATATGTTTCAATATCTTCCGATGTAGAACATTCCCTTCGACAAACACAGTGTCGCCAATGAACTCAACTAGTCGTAATATGGGAGATCTCGTTGGTTTCGGCCCATTCGTACTTGCTTTAGGGCGTTACCCGTGCGACCAACTTACTGGGAGGTCATTCATAACTGAGGACGGGGTAGGAGGCGGCACGCTCCGCCTGACAACTCCGAGGTTCTTGTAGTGGACGCCCAGCGCTGGCGGCAGGCTTGTAGGCTTCCATGGGTATTTCCAACACCGGGCAGTAATTTCGGCCAATCCTGGGGCAGTCCTCCCTACAGGGAGTGCCGTGGCGAACGGTGATGGTGGAGCCACGCGTCCCTACTTGCTCAGAGTAGCCTCCGCCACCATGACGTTCAACGGACGGGACGCATAGGAACGCTGGACCGCCGACGGGACGGGGCTGCTTAGAGTTACCTCACAAGTAATCTGCAGCATACCACGGCCTCGCCCCGAAGCAAGCGTTCAAACTGACGCTCCTACCCGCGGAATGTCCTACGCAAGTGGACTCTTGGTGCGACTGAGGTCAAAGGGACGGTGAAGTATGGCGCGATGACCAGTAGTTATCGCACGTTTGATGGTTTCTGAACGCGGCAGTACATCAACTGCGATTTTTTCATCGGCCTCATGCTTTCATATGAGCCGTCAGTCAATGGCTACGCATGATGCGGATGGCTATGCTGAAGTTATTACGCCGAGCTCTCCTGACCCCTCTGCATATAATGGGCCTCGAACCGTAGCGACGTGGGGCATGCTATGGGCATTGGCGGGGAAGCTGATGGGCTCGTGGCCGTCCTCGAATATTGCTGACGAGCTGAATGGCTGGGATACCCAGCGAAGCTCAATCACGTAAGTTACGAATATGCTTCAAAGTAACGATGTGCTAGTGTCGTCCTTTTTCATGGTCGCCCACTGGCCCGGCTTGTGCCCAAGGTATTGATATCTGTACTGTTAGTTAATTTTGAGTACTCTAATGAACTTCTTGGCTCCCCTGAGCGCGAATATTTATTTTTGCGGGAGCAATGCAATTTATGCAATCACTGTCCCTATAAAGACATGCCACACGGCGCTGAATTTCGGAGCAACCAAGGACAGACAGTAACACACAAACTGCGGAAGTCACATCATTGCCACGAAATGGGTGGCTGTGCCCTACTGGATTGTTTCTTGGCCAGTTAGCCCGCCAGTCCGGTCATATGAAAGGAGTTGCATCGCCACGGTCCATTCCACGGCGCCCTTCCGGCAGCGGGCGGGTCGGGCACTGAGCAGCCGAGGTCATACACGACGCAGTATGGAAATGGGCAAATGCAGGCTGGCTACCAGAGGTAAGGACAGGAGGTAAGGCCCAGCGACACCGTCAGCATCGCAACGGTATTGCTGTGAGATATGTCATGAACTCGTCTTTTTGGGGAACGCGACGTACGTCTTCGCGCACCTTTTTACTGCGAACTGCGATGCGGATATTTGCGTACAACGGAATGGGTAAACAAATAAATGAGATACATAGGCTTTCCCGGGTACGCCACGCGTCTAACCCCGCCAGCACTGCTGGCGTTCAACCACCCGTGCTCTCCTTTCCCTCCTAAAGTTCACATTTTTTGCCATTAGATGCCAGCAGCTTCGCAGTCTTGAGTAAAATGTTCCTGATGAATACAAGTGATACGCGAAGGAGACAAATGCTGTGTCCATATTAAAAACGGGGGGGGGGGGGGGGGCACTATCGCCTTCGACGTGCATATCTCTAATAATAACCTAACATATAGGCGTGCTTTAGAATATGCATAGGCAGTCTCTGTCAGATGACGTTTGAAGTTGAGTTATTTCAAACTTAGCTTCGTGTTTGTTTTGACCAAATTGGACGTGTTGATTCAATAAGCAGACATTACTATGAATGGTATGTGTAGTAAGATTTAAGATAGCTGTTGGTAATGTAGTCCAGTGCCCATCTTCTTAAATTCGGTTTGAATTTTACCACAGGTATAGGTATGCACGATCTTGATTGTCAATCCCTGACTGTATTCTGCATCTCACTTGTTCCAAGGTTGTGATTGGACACAAGTTGTAGGTGTAGGAATATTTTAAAGGATAAGGGGCCTTTAATTGCATTTTTGTGGCCATTGAAGTATATGGTGTTGGTCATGGCTGGGCATCATGACAGGATTATAAGTGGTGACCATGTTCATTGGACCTATCATAGCTTTCAAGGGGACTCCTTAAATTTCATGACAGATAAAAAGATGTTCACCCATTCTGTTTGACACCAGGGTTGGTGACTGCTCACTGTGCCCACCCTGTGGTACTGCCCCTATTTGGGAGGACTTTAGAAAGCCAATTAGCTTAAGTACCTGATAGGAAAGGGGTAATACTCTGGCTGGCAACACACATTCTGGCCTGTATGCATGCATGCAATAGTATACCATCCAATGGTTAGCCATATCCAGGCCCATAAAGCTATCAAGATTGCAAATGAAATTGCATATGCTTAAGCCTCATAGGGCATGTGCACCGTGGCAGCAATATCAAATAGCATTTGAAGCCAGTGTGACAGTGCTCTGAGACAGCCAGTATTCACCAACTATACTGAATTCATCAATTTCTGTATGGGATCTTTGTGCTATTGGTCAGGAGGCCCCAAGCAGATGTACTGCCATTAGCATGGTTATATGATGCAAGTTTCTTTTTCAATCATGTTTCTTTTTGCTGGGTAACTTTAATGCTATTTATGAGTTTTGTGCATGTATTTTGGGACCACTTTGGGAGTAGATGGTGATTGAATTGCATGGCAGTTGACAAACAATGTTACTGACATCACAGTACATTTTTTGGCAAGGTCTGTGTCGTCTTTTGCACACCGTGGGTCGGAGGAGTCGCCACTCTGGTGCCCACCACCCTCCCGCATATGACGTCATTGTGGTGGGCGGCGGTCACGCGGGCACGGAGGCGGCCGCGGCTGCCGCCCGTCTCAGAGGTCGCACCCTACTCGTCACTCACAAGGCTTCCACCATTGGTGAGCTATTAACACAAGCAATTGGCATATGCATATCACTAAGATTACAGGCTTATTTGTTCTATTGTACTATCATCAGCAGGTATATCTCCACCATCACAAATCTGGCAATTGTCATGGCAAGCATCAAGCATCTTAAATCAAATTTCATAACAAGTTAAACTGACTGGTGTGTGATTAGCAGATAGCTAGAACTGCATAATATATATGTACAACATATTATTGTGCAACTTTTCTGTGCAATATATACATGCACATTCCTATATCTGTGTGTGTGTGTGTGTGTGTGTGTGTGCATGCGTGCGTGCGTGCGTGCGTGCGTGCGTGCGTGCGTGCGCGCATGCGTGCATGCGCGCGTGGGTGCGAACGTGGGTGCGTGCGTGCGAGTGTGCAGGCATTCATGCATGCATGCATGTGTACATGTTTTGCATTGTGCATATTCATGCACCATATGTTAATGCTAAATTGTGACATTTTTCAATCACTGTTGTCATTTCCAGGAGAAATGTCTTGCAACCCTTCATTTGGAGGAATTGGAAAAGGCCATCTTATGCGAGAGATCGACGCATTAGATGGCCTCTGTTCCAAAATTTGCGATGTTTCCGGAGTGCAGTACAAGGTGGGTGATCTACATCAGAAACCAGTGCTGCATTAATCGTGGACTTCATGCAGTACCTCCCGTAAGAACACTGATGTGCTACCTGCATAAACCAATTAGCTCAAATGTCCTTGTACTACTACTGATACATGAGCTGACAAGGGGCGCCGAGCTGACCGCCGCCAGCGCCCTCTCTGTCCTGTCTCTGTCCTCTCAGCAGAGCGCATCCGCCAGGTGACGTCCTCGCCTGTCTGGTGGCGCTCACACCCGCCGGCGTCAGCAGGTGCTGAACCGGAGCAAGGGGCCGGCCGTGTGGGGTCCGCGCGCCCAGATCGATCGCCAGCTGTACCGGCGCCAGCTGCAGCGCCAGCTACTGGCCACGCCCGGCCTGCAGCTGCTCGAGGCCGGCGTGGACGACCTGCTGCTGGTCGACGGCGAGCGGCCCGGCTCGGCGCGCTGCCACGGCGTCCGCACCGGTAGGTCGGCGGGCGGCCCGCGCCGGGGTAGGGCTCGCTGTTAGTGGGCTCAGCGAGCGGCCGTCTCGAGGAAGAGGTTCTCTGTGCCACCCACAGGTGCGGTGCGCTGTTTAGGCCGACGTTTGAATTGGTGCGGTAGTGATAACAAAACGGATGATCGCTTTCCGAGTGATCAGAGAGGTTTGCGCGCGGCGAAAAATGGCGGCAATGTAGTTGTGTCAGTTGCGTATGAAGACTGAATGATACAAAGCATAAATTGGAGGAAGGTGTTCATAGTAGCGCCAACACGTAGCTTTGGGAGTAGATAAGGAATTTTGTACCGCACTATTGTGGATTAAGCACGCGACAGGTGAAGCACAGTCCATCCGCACTGGCAGTTCCCCGCCAGGAGGAATGCACGGGTCTTTCTACAACAGCCAAGACTCACATTTGTGCACATAATTGACTTTTCCCATTTTTTAAAAACCAGTTAGCACTGGTCCACCACCTGTTGCACCGGTTCACTCTCACATGTCCTGAGTGTCGTCGCGACTGTGTCTTATCAGCGAAGGCTGACGCGTGGGTGCGGTGGCGCGCTGCCGGCAGCGGACGGCCGGGAGCTGACGGCGGCGGCGGTGGTGCTGACCGCCGGTACCTTCCTGCGCGGCCAGATCAGCCTGGGTGCTCAGTCGTGGCCGGCCGGCCGCGCCGGTGACCAGCCGGCCATCCATCTGGCGCGTGCCCTCGAGCGTCTCCAGTTTCGGATGGGTCGCCTAAAAACCGGTAACGGCCAGCGGGGGCGGCCGTGTCAGCGTGCCCACCACCGGCTACGGCCGCTGTGCTCGCCGAGCCTGTCCACACGCACTCAGAGCCTGTTCACGAGGGCTTCAGTGCAGTCCGATGAGTGCGGCTGCCAGCATGACTGTGTGCAAGTTCAGCTTCGAACCTTATGCCGGTCAGGATCCGCCAACTCGTGATCGTGCACGGGCTGGGCGCAGACACCACCTGTGCGCTGTGTGCGTCCGTGATGCGCCGGGACCCGCCGGTTACGCTCGGCCGTCGGCGCACGGGATGGCCGGCCGCGTGCCGCGCCTGAAGTCCGCCTCGGGCCGCCGTTGCAGGCACGCCGCCTCGTGTGCTGAAGCGCAGCATCGACTTCAGCCGGCTGGAGGCCCACGGAGGCGACGACGTGCCGCAGCCCTTCTCCTTCCTCAACGACAGCGTCTGGATCAAGGTGATGCGCTAGCGGCCGCATCGCCGCGGTGGCGTCCGTGGTGCGTGGGTCAAGATCGGATACGAGCCGTGTTCCAGGTCATTTGGACATGACCGTTTTGAGTTTTAGTTTCGTTTTAGTTAAGTTTGAGTTTCGATGTCGCTGAGATTACCGCAGCCTTCCACTGCACCATACCAGACAGTCGTTGCTGGCCGTGCTGTCCACAGGCCGAGGACCAGCTGCCGTGTCACATGACGTATACGACGTCGGAGGTGGGGAACATTGTCAGGCGGTCACTCGACGAGAACCCACACGTCAAGGAAGAGGTCAACGGCCCCCGCTACTGCCCCTCCATCGAGTCCAAGATACTCAGGTATGCGGCCCGTGCTGGTATGAGCACCTTGTTTGCGTGCAAGAATCATGCGAACCCCAATCACGTCTCAGAGGGGGCCGCCCTCGTCGGACCTGACGCAGCACATCCCCGGCCAGCGTGCGGCGTTCATGCGCCCAGTGATTACGCGGGCCGCACCAGCCGCCGCTAGGCGGGCCGCGACCGGTCCGTGTGCGGCCAGGCTCGGTGACCGGCCGCACCAGCCGCCGCTGGGCAGGCCGTGACCGGTCCGTGTGCGGCCAGGCTCGGTGACCGGCCGCACCAGCCGCCGCTGGGCAGGCCGTGGCCGGTCCGTGTGCGGCCAGGCTCGGTGACCGGCCGCACCAGCCGCCGCTGGGCAGGCCGTGGCCGGTCCGTGTGCGGCCAGGCTCGGTGACCGGCCGCATCAGCCGCCGCTGGGCAGGTTGTGACCGGTCCGTGTGCGGCCAGGTTCGGTGACCGGCAGCACCAGGTGTGGCTGGAGCCGGAGGGACTGCCGGCCGATCCGGACACGGACCTCATCTACACGCAGGGCCTGTCGTGCACCATGGCCGAGCCGCTGCAGCTGGAGATGCTGCGCCAGCTGACGGGTCTCGAGCGCTGCCACATGGTCAGACCCGGTGGGTGACGTGTGCCGCCAATCACGGCCCGGATCGGGTCGAGGTCTAGGTCGAGGTCGAGGCCAGAGTCGAGGTCGGGTTGAGGTCGGGGTCGAGGTCGAGATCAGGGCCGAGGTCAGGGGATTGAGATTGAGGTCGGAGTCGGAGTCGGAGTCGGAGTCGGAGTCGGAGTCGGAGTCGGAGTAGGAGCCGGAGTTGGGGTATTCACGGTGTGCTGACGCAGTTAATGGACGTGGAGGGGTATGTGAGGTGCGCGCTTATACTGCATGGTGTTGTCCGGGAGGTGGAAATGGTGTGATGTCAGCAGGTTCGCATATAAAGTTATTGAAAGGGCGAGGCAATGGTGCGATAGGCCTCGACGGGAAGCTAAAACGTCGCCGGCGACGATGGCTTTTGGCAATAGACCCATTTGAGACAGGATTCTCATAGTCTGTTGAAGTGGCAGCCTTTCCGACAGTCTTTCCAAAAGCTCCCGACCACCGTTGACTTACTAGCATTGACAGAATTTATCTCGAGTGCGTGTCGGGATACCTGAGCATCGGACGAAGCTAGGCACCGGAAGTTTCCTCACAGCTGCCTACACTCGGACAGAATAACCTAGTCGCGTCGCGTGACGCTGCGCCCTCGCCTGCTGCAGGGTACGGCGTCGAGTACGACTACATCGACCCGCGCGAACTGCGCTCCAGTCTGGAGACCCGCCGCGTGCGCGGCCTCTACCTGGCCGGACAGGTGAACGGCACCACCGGCTACGAGGAGGCCGCCGCTCAGGGCCTGGTGGCCGGCGTCAACGCGGCCAGACAGGTGACGATGGGTGTGCGGTCGCCGCCGGGGCGCGCCCCGCCGCCGGCAGCCGGCCCGCGCGGACCGACTCTGTGCCGGTGGGTTACCCCGTCTGAGTGGCCACGCCTGTCATGTAGCAGCGCCGGTGCTGAAGCTGACGGGTAGCAGAGCGGCGGGAGTGCAGATGGCGCGGCGCAGCGGTTGATTGTACAATCACGCTGCACTACAGGAAAGTAGGAATCAGCGGTGGTGTCCCTGCTCGTCTGGTGTCTGCTCGTCTTGGCTTGGCTGTCAAAAGATCCCAGACTTGACAGACAGTGCTATCAAGACATCATCTAGCCAGGGTACGCCCAGATTGACGCATTAGACTCAAGTGATGGCAACGCTCCTCCACCGCAGCGCCATCATCAATGAAGTGCTCAATCTGGGGGTAGCTGGCCTTAACTATTGAAATCCTTAAAATGTTGATGGTTACATACACCGCCCAGTCCGAAAAGCTAAGCAGTTGAATTGAGTATGATGGGTCTCTGCTCCGCGATTAGCCGGCTGCCGGTCGTTGTACTCCATTCGTGGCTCCATTTGAGTGAGTTGACCGTGCTCCCCTCTCCGCTGACTGTCGGCTCTGTTTGCGCGGCTGTCCGCCGTCCGCGGCTGGCCCGCTGCCGGGCTGGGCCAGCGCTCACCCGCGCCTCCTGCGTCAGGCGCGCGGCGACACACCCATGCCGTTGGATCGCACCGACGGCTACATCGGCGTACTGATCGACGACCTGACGGTGCAGGGCACCAACGAGCCATACCGCATGTTCACGTCGCGCGCCGAGTTCCGTCTCACGCTGCGGCCGGACAACGCCGACCTCCGGCTCACCGAGAGAGGTGGGTGGTCTGTCTCGGCGCACGGGGCCGCTGGAGATCAGGTGGGTGACCTGACCCGGCGCACGGGGCCGCTGGCGGTCAGGTGAGCGGCTTGTGGTGTTGTACCTGGGCGGTGCGGTGTTGTTGGGGCCGGGTTTCGATGGACAAGGACGTCACGGACCGTCATGATCAGGTGGCTGGTGTTTGAACGTGCTTTGCTTTCGAGCCTACATCGTTCTGATGCAGGTCTCGTACCGACGTTTATTCTATTCATTTCTGTTCCGGTGATATTCGATTGAGATTGATGGCAACAAAACTGTCATCAACCGATCAATGACCACAAAAACACGTAAGATAACGAAACCAAGTGCAATTGGTCTGCATCATTGGTGGCAAAGTGGCGCAAGCGCTTCGCGGTAATTATGAGTTTTAGACGAGAGGTTGCGGGTTATGCTGTAGTCGCATGTCGCTTGCAAACTTATTTCAGGACATGCCAGCGCTGTTGGTCTCTCGCCCCTCCCCTCCCCTCCCAGAGTGGGCTGGGGGTCAGGTTAGGGGCCATGATGTACCGAAAGCATCATGCAACCCCGAGCCACCCCGGGTACCTCTGCCGCCCCAGCCACCACCTCTGTGTCACCGCCGGCAGGGTACCGGGCCGGCGCAATGCCCGAGCGGCGTACGCCCATCGCCCCTGTCACCGCCGACAGGGTACCGGGCCGGCACAATGTTGGAGCCGCGGTACGCCCGTCACCCCTGTCACCGCCGACAGGGTACCGGGCCGGCGTAATGTCGGAGCCGCGGTGCGCCCGTCACCCCTGTCACCGCCGACAGGGTACCGGGCCGGCGCGGTATCGGAGCGGCGGTACACCCGGCTGTGCGCCACACGGGCCCGCCTGGAGACGGTAACGGCCGCGCTCACCGAGCACCGACTGCCGCTGGCCGAGTGGAGACGCCACCTCCGGCTGCCCGCCGGCTCGTCCAACGACAGCAAAACGTGCGTCGCCGGCGAGTGTGGGCGAGCGGTGCGGTGGGCGGCTCGATCATTCCTTGGGGCATCTTCAATAGCAGTTTTGCCTATCCAGCTCAACCATTCCAGCTGGGCGCCCTTCGCCATAGGAAGGCTCGATCTGTGTTGCGTTCTGTGCGCATGGCACACTCGATCTCCACCCGTTCTACCGTATTGTACACGCTGAGAAGCCCTGCTTCACCGGCACAATTCGGCCGTTTGTATGAGGGCTGCTCGAGGGAGGCCGGCTGCCTCTGGCAATCTGTTCGGTGCCGATTTTGCTCGAAACTGCCCGTGATGTGGATTGCGCTGCTTGATTTCAAATACCAGAGGTCACTCTGTCACCATTGAGAGTCGGTGGGGTGTGACAAGTACAGCTCAGGATGATAACATGATACCGCGCGCTATGCGTCGAGCTCGCAGCAGTGGTCGTACCTTGTCTTAAAGTGACCTGTGACATGTGACCTGATGATGTCGCTGATTTTGAGCTCGCCATTGACGTCCCTTCCAGGGCATTTGAGCTGTTAGGCATAGGGAGTGAAAAGGTGGAGCTGGCGCGCATTCTGAAGGCTTTCCCCGAGCGGTACTCCTCGCTGGAGGACAGCTGCGAGCCGTGGGTGCAGGCCAGGTCAGAAGCTGAGTGTTCTGCGGCTGTCAGGCTTAAGTTGTTCAATCAGTGGATTTACTTTGCACGACGACGTGGATGTTGTTATCGGCCGTGATTGACTGCCGCGTTGGCTGCGGGATTGGGCCCTCCTGCGAGAAGTTTGGTGTGGAGTGGGACCCGGCAGAAAGAAGGGTCTCCTACTATCGGGGCTTCCGAGTGAAACAGGCCAAACAGGCCAACAGTGAGGTCTAACGGTGGGCTGTCCCTGGCGTAGCATAGTTGGCTTCTGTGTGTTAGGCAGAATGGTGGACTGCCTGTAAAGATGCTGAAAGACGTGCTGACGAGGGACCCTGTGAGAGGCGGTGGCGCAGAGCAGGGATAATGAGCCGCCTCTCGCCGCTTGCCGCCGACCACTGAAGTAGCTCTCGGACCAGCCTTGACCAGTGCTCCACGATTTGAGCTTCGGAAGGAAGGTACCACGGTCAGCGCTGTTAACTGCACGGCTTATGTCAGTTGAGATTGCGACCTTGTCTTGGCCGTCATCATTGCGCCGAGTGGTCTATTCGACAGCGTGGATCAGGGTGTCCTCCATCGAATAGCACGGTCCTTAAGTGTGCTGCACTATGCAGCCAAATACGACGGGAGGTAAGATGACTGGGCAGCTGCTGGGCACTCGTGTCCCTTCTCATGTATCTTAGATGTAGTCCGAGGTGTGGGGGCGTGGCTAAAATTATCACATTTTTACAAGCAGACTCGCAGATATGCAGAAGCCAGCTTTCAGGAAGACGGACAGTTGACACCATAGACACTAATGAAATCCAGTTATAATAATACGCACTAACAAGTCAAGTGGACTTACGCGAGGCCCAAGTACAGGACGGCATTGGGGATGGCCGGCAGTGACGCGGCGCCGTGGCCCACAGCGCTCAATGGCCAGAGCTCACGCGTAACCGTGAGAGTTCGGGTAGTGTTGCGGAACGACTGCGCGAGTTCGTTGCTGCGGCGCGTGGCGGCTCGGCAGGGAGGGGTGCCCGCCGCGAGCTTGGCAGTGGTGCTCAGGCCGGCCGACGTCGGTTGACCTCGTCGTCTTTTCTGGAGGTGCTGCATCGGCAGCCTCCTCCCCCGTGCTAGACGAAAGGCGAAGACCCGGACCTCCCGCCTGAGACCCGGGTACGGTGCCTTGACACAGCCTCGTAAACGTCGATAATGATACCTGTCATAAATAATGCGCTTAGCAGTCGGTGGCTTGTGCTGCGCTGTCGCGCATTTTATTACACGAAGGGAGACCATTTAGGACACCTTCCGATAGAGCGACGCTGCCGGGGACGTGTAAAGGCTGACACAGTTGAACCTGGCGCGACATGCGATTAGCACTCACCGTCCGCACAGTCACGACATTGGTTGGCTGGGTTTGGCAGGTAAACCAAAGTGGAGTGGACCAACGGCGTGTTTTCAACACGTACCAGTGGTGACCATCTTCAGCGGCGTATGAGAGGCGCCAAAGCTCGGGAAGTGGCCGGAGTCTCATGCATATAGGAATTCCCATGCTGTGTATATCGCTCTCGGCCTTCAGATTTTGTGATAATCGGATCCTTGTAACATGCTGCAAATATTCCTTCCAGGTGATTACCTCACGACCTTGTACAGTTCGGAGGGGCCGAGCGTTTGTATCTGCTGCCGCTGTGCCGTGCGGTTCAGATCACTCGGCGAAAACGCTACTAACCTGATGTCACTGTGTGAATGTGGCCAGAGCATTGCGGGGTGCCCCGCGCGCACTAGGATGCTTACATTCGGCGCTGTTTCAGGGTGAAGATCGAGGCTTTGTATGAATCGGCCAGCGCCGCCCAGCTGGCGGAAATGGCCGAGGTGCGCAGGGACGAGGGTCTCGTGATACCGGACGACCTCGACTACACCAGGTAATGGACCGACCTCGACATGGCCAGGCGGCGGACCGGACTGACAATGTGCGCCGGAAAGGTGATGTCAAATAATGAATACGACGCCGGTTGGTGGAATGGACGGGCTTGCACCAGCCATCTGTTGAACTGGGTCGAATATCCGGAAATCGATGGACCCCGGGATAGTGTGGACTGTACGACTAATACTTGTCCGGAGACTTTGTCAGCCCTCAGAATTTCAGTTTGCTGCACCTTCTGCTGGTCTTAAATGCCTCGTGTGGACTTCAGCTTGTAGTCGTCAAGTTTAGCTTGAAACCACGAGAGATTAGCTTCATGCATAACACAACTCAAACAAGGAAGATGGTTTTCATGATGAATCATGGGGCATGGTCGCAGATGCCCTATTTTAGAGCTGTGTCACATGTGATAGAGCCTCACTGCGGCATTGCTACGACGAATATGGTATAAATACCAAACCCAGGTATGAAAAATGACGTTATCACCGACGAGTTTGCTATCATAAAAGGCAACAGAAGACCATTTATCCCAGGCCGTTTCCAAATTGGGATACTGCGGGGGAATAATTACGAACGAAGGAGGGACTGCAAGGGCCTCAGGGGTGGGAGGGGGTAAGAGATGGGGAATTGGGATGTAGCGAAATCGTGCCGAAGTTGAGAAATATAATCGTCCAGGTAGTGCCATCAGGCAGGCGCTGATAAGGGGATGCCACTACTGCACTACCATACACTCATACGAGAATATCTGCTATGGTAGCCTATGAACACAAGTAGTTATTTCACTTGCATCGAGTGTTTAAGCGCGAGAGAGATACCGAGAGTTCTGTGACTTACTTACGTCATCCGAATGCTAACGCTGTGTACAGTCTGCGAGCTATCTAGAACACTTCTCATCACCTATCAGCCGCTTGTGTGATGTCCACACGGGGTTCGGTGGGAGGTCGTAATTCGATCCCTTCTCAGTGCAAGATTCGCCTAAAAGATTGGGAAAAGCTGGTCCCTTCATGAAACGTTTTAATGGCGCTTGTGTCCAGTTCACTTTCGGTCTTTTTGCACATTGTTCCAAAATTACGACGCTGTTTTTTCGGTTTTGGCTAAGCGAAGTATCATTTATCGGACATTTCGCGGTGATGATTTCAAACCTGCGGATAAATAATCGCAACGTCTTTTGTAGCATGGAAATGGAGTTCCTCTCTGAATAGCACCCCGATCTGATGTGCAATGTCCTCATCATTTGCTGATCCTGATTTATCATTTAAATATCACTTGATGACGTCCTACGCATCTACGCTAGTGTTCGCGGCTGCAGGTGTAATGTATTTAGCTCTTTGTGTTAGGTCTGTACTACGCTCCCCATGGACAGCTTTGAACATCCATGATGTACCTTTGCGAAGGCCCTGTCCCATAGACTTGTTGAGCATGTGCGGTTTTCGGGACTTACCCGTGTCCTATGTTCATGGCTTTGGCAGTGATAAGTGATATATCTGCGTATTTCTGGTGACGATGATATGTTTCAGTTCCGGGTTTTCCTGTCTTGATTATATTTCCGCATTTGCAGCCATCAAATGACCCTGTCGTTGGAGGAGCGCGAAAAGCTGATGGCCAGCCGACCCCAGACGGTATGGATGGGGTAGCAAATGCTGCAGGCATACTTCTTGAACTGTCATGAATGAACCGTCATTTTAAAATCACTTACAATGGTCGAGCAACGTATGGACGATGGTGCTGATCGGAGTTTAAGGGCGCGCCGACTCCTGTGATCGCTGGGCACCCATTGAAAATGGATGGGATCGGTCAGGGATGTGTGGTTATAAGCCGTTCGGGACGCATTCAGGCTTGGGCTCGTCTTTTGTTGGAGTCGTAGTTTACTTCGGAATCAACAAACTTTCCGTTGAGTCGGAGTGGATTCGATTCCTGTAAATGCCCGTCGGGTTCGGGGTCGGATTTCGCACGGTTAGTGGATCTACGATTAGATTTCGTCCGGTTGCTGATCACCAAAGCACGCGATTTGGAATCTGTAGATTCCGCCGAAGCAAAATCAAGCACAGGTCAGACATATTGCATGCTAATGTAACTGGAAGACCTGCTTGAGATATCGGACATCCACACAAGATTCCTTTCCTGTTTTGCTTACACGACATGCGGACAGTAGTTGGTAGGTGACGTGGCCAAGGTGACAACTAATACGTATTCCCTGACAGCAGAATCAGGCTGGATGAAAATGATTCCAGTCTGATGACTTCTGCTCTAGTCCTAATGTGCCCCGTTGGAAGTTTTATTTACGAAGACCACCTTTTGCCCTGAGTGATCTTAACATGTGTATAAGGCTTGTAGTGCGCGCGGTGTGGTACCAACACGCAGTAGGTGTTCTCTTGCGTTGTGAAGCTTCTGGGGATCTCGGATCCTCATCACAGCTGCAGCCGACAGTCGTGCCTTCTCCCTCAAAGTATCGATGAAGATATCCCCCACCATCAGCCACATGGCTGACCGACCCTGTGATATCCCCCGTGATATGAAGATATCCCCCACCATCAGCCGTATGGCTGACCGACCCCGTGATATCCCCCGTGATATGAAGATACCCCCCACCACCAGCCGTATGGCTAGGCCGACCCCGTGCTCGGTCAGCGAGAGCGCCGCCGGCGCCGGAACGGAGCTTGCACACCTCGTGCCCGCGTGTGCCGGCGGCGCGGGCCGCGTCCCAGAGCTGTTCCTGACCCGCTCCAGGCCTGGCCTTTCCTGAACAGGAGCCAGGGGTGGCCCACGTACGCCCGTGTCAGCGCCGCCGCCACCGCTGACGGGCCGGCCTTGCTCACCAGATCGCCGCCGCCAGCCGCATCTCGGGCGTCACGCCGGCGGCCGTCGTGCGCCTGCTACAGCACGTGCGCCGTCAGCGGGCGGCCGCCGCCGGCTAACCGGTGCCGAGCCCGGCTGAGGGGCGCAGCAGAGCGGGCCAGCCTCCCGGCTCGGCCCGCCCCGACCGCGCAGACCGCCGCCGGGCGCGGCGTGGCCCGGCGCCGAGCTCGGCTGAGCGGTGCGACACAGAGGGCCGGCCGGCCGGCTGAGGACGTCGCCACACACGGCCCGCCCGGCCGCGCAGACTTGCTATCATGTGCGGCGCGGTGTCGTAGGCCCACCAGTCTAGGAAGTGTGGCTGTACTGTGGCGACTGTAAGCGGCAGACGACATGGATCGTTTAACCGCCTTCAACTGTGGAACAGAGGAAAGCTGTCAGCAACAGTTTACCCTCCCTTTTGGGCGGCATGCAATGTTTAGCGCTGATCGCGTTTTTATGAGCTGTTTTGCTTGTTGAGAGGAGAAATGCAGTGGTTTCCAAGACAGCTTGACATATGATGCCCGAAGAAAGGGACGAAAGCTGGGTTACAGGGGCGATAGTGTTGTGAACTTCAGGTACGTAGAGTTCCTTAACAAGGCAGGCAAGCGCCTGCCCGTCGGCTGGCGGAAATTTGTTAATGCAGCCTAAAAATATTCCTGCTTTCAACTACGACATTGGAAAGTGTAGGTATGTTTGGTGGTGTCAGGTAGCAAGAACCTTCGAGATGCTAGAATATTTGTCCGCACGCCATGTGCAAGTTTGTGTTGAAAATATGCACTTACCTTGAAGGTCTGAAGACAGTGCAAATCGTTATCTGATCCCTGCCGAGACAGCTCATGAGGCGAATGTTCGATACCATCAACAAGCGTTCGGGTGGATGCCAAGTCGACCCCCTCCCTCTTCTCTCAAGTTTTCCCCGACCACGATCCGAACGGTGCGATGTAGCGACGCCACACGATGCATATCTGCAGATAACTGAAAGCCGATCTTATGGTACAAAATAGAGGACTTATTTTTCCAAATCTGGCCAGAAGTTGATCGAAGACAGAACAGGGTTGGAAGAGAAGGAAGCTCGGGGTGGCTTTAAAGGTTACGAGCTGACTGATTTTCCGGTGAAGTCACGCAACCTCTACATGATTTCCATGACGAGACAGCTGAAGTTAAGAAAACAAGTAATTCTACTGATCTATTCTACAAGGTGATTATTGGAAAACTTGTTTTGTCGGGTAGTTTGACGTTTATCTCGCATTTCGCGATCACCTCATCAAACCCGCTTTAGAAAGCTTCACCGCATAGGAGAAGCTTTTGAGTTATTTCAAATTCAAAACAAAACATGACCTTTTTCCATTTGACCCTCCGGTATCGATGTTGTAGGTGACTGTACGAGAAGGTCTAAGGACACTTCCAACAATGATTCGTGTCACACTGATCCAAGTCATCTGACGCAAACCGGCGCAAAAAGTGAGCATTAATTCTGACAACATATTAGGTCTTGTGCCAAAATTTCGAGGTCAAATGGTGAGGAACACTATAGGACTCAAAAGGTAATGATCGATTTCCGACTTTTAGGCATCAAAATAATCTTCAGTGCACAAAATAGGATCCGTCGAAGTTCTTCGGGCCAATTTCAGATTGTCAGACATGATGATCCTCGTTGTATTAACTAACGTTCATCGAGGTACTGGCCTTTCAAGGTGGTTTCCGGGTTAAATTTTAAGGTCGGACGTCGAGAAGTCAAAAAAATTTGCAACACATGCACGAGCTCCCGTCAAAAAATTCCTACCAATTCGCGCCAACCTTCATTGCCAAATGCAAGGTCAAATGACAGCCCCATATCTCATCAAAAGGTTAAAGTGTTAAAGTTTACTCCTATACACAAACCAAATTTGGAAATTAAAGGTAGTTAAGATCGCTGCTTCCCCCCCCCCCCCCCCCCCGGAAAGTGGCGCCTTGCTGCCCCGCCCCCTCCGTTTCTATGCCTATGCTTATCATAAACCCTCCTGGGAGCTGGCCCTGCTTTGCACCCCATGCTTTTGGAGTGCTCCGATACTTTCCCCACCCTCTTCGCTCCCTCTACGACCCTCACGTGTATCGCCACGCAAATGAATTAGGCGGGCCAATCCAATTGATCAAGTAGGTGCTTTCACGCTGCATGTGCTTATCGGTCGAACGAAGTGGTGCGCGTTTCCAGTGGCAGTGTTTGTCGGAAAACTGAACGTACAGGGTCTTTATATAGGTACCTGTGGCACAAGAACGAAAAGCAAAGGATGTGCCTGACGAAGATCGGGTTCACTTTCCACCTCGGATGGTGATGCTGCCACAGCAGCCTTCAGACCGGGCGACGTTTGACGTGATCCAAACTTTATCATGCGATAACACCATCACGCGCGGCTGTCACGTTTATTGGGGGCGCAGGTCATCACCATGCTACGCTATGAGATGCGAACTGCCCGACCTTAGAAACGTGAATTCGTAGAATGACATTGCAGCTTTCGAAAAATTATCAACACTGACAACCACCCAAGTTTGTTGTATCGCTTACATACACTGTGACCATTCGCTCGATGAGCAAACCACGTCCTGAGCTCAATACCTGATGACTTCCGGCCCACACACCTGCGGTGCGGCTGAGGGGGCCGGCGCAGTGGCTGCACCCCACAGCAGCCGGGCACGGGCGGGGGGGGGGGGGCGAGGGGGACCGTCACTGCCAGCGGCCCCGGCCGCTCCAGCCGAGCCCGGGCGGCGCGCCCGCGCCGTTCCAAGAGGCGCAGCGCGCCCGCCCGCTGGTAGCCACCGTCTCGGCGTACTTGGCGCCCAGCGAGTCGCCCGTCACGAGGAACTGGTGGGCGGCACACGGCTGCAGCCGGAGCGGCGGCGCCAACAGCCGGCAGGCCTGCTGCAGCCGCTGCGCCGCGTCCTGCAGCCTCTCCGACACCTGGCCCGGCACCGAGCCGCGTCACAGTCACAGCCACAGCCTCCCGGTCAGCCGCTCCGACACCTGGCCTGGCACCGAGCCGCGTCACAGTCACAGCCACAGCCTCCCGGTCAGCCGCTCCGACACCTGGCCCGGCACCGAGCCGCGTCACAGTCACAGCCACAGCCTCCCGGTCTGCCGCTCCGACACCTGGCCTGGCACCGAGCCGCGTCACAGTCACAGCCACAGCCTCCCGGTCTGCCGCGCGCCAGCAGCGTCCGACACTTCGACCAGCAACACCGCGGGCTACAGCACGTACACACAGCTCACGCGACAGCGCACAGTGGGGCAGTTACGTGCGTGGTCTTGGAGAATCTGGCGACTCGTCTGTGGTCACTTGCATTTCATTCAATACATACACTGTGAAAACGATCAACGAGTTAAGGTTTATCGTTGGTGATTCGGCTTGGTAGTTACCAAAATCAAATAAGTTGATCTCATACAGCCCGGGTTGGCATTTCAGCCAGTTGAAGCTAGCTTCGCCCATGTGGTTTTTACCGGCTTTGGCTGGTTCAAAACAAAAAGTGTCAGAAACTCATAAAGCTTCAGTATCTTAACTTTTATAAAAATATTACCTTATGGTATGTGGTAGCAATGTTCCCGATTAAGTCAAAATACGAGGAAAAGCATGCCAGTACAGCTGCGTGGTCAAAACAGCTGGTGCGGTGCTACACCTGGCGCGAGTTAGCTTATCTGAACTGGTACCCCAGGATCGATGGTCGTGGTGTGTGTTATAACTGGCTGGTAGAAACAGCTGTTCCAGCTGCTTGCTGCCGCGAGTACCCAGAGTTAGCAGTGTCACCTCTGGTTTAAAAGCCAGATGGTGTCTCGGGGGTAGACGAGGAATATTCGTTTAAATTGGTCCATGAGAACAGGAATCCACCACACGCATTTTTCCAAAAATTTCCGATGGTTAGAATTGTGTAAGCCAGCCTCCAAACTGTTTGGCATGGTTTCTCGATGTTGAATGTTTAGTGCGAACACTGGCAATGCTTGAAACGTAATTTTGTGATTTCTGTTGGCTCCATCGGCTTTCCTCTTGTGCAGTGCCTGAGATTCTGACCGTTTTTGTTAGCATTGGTTATTGCCAGTCCATTTTAACCAGTAAAAACCGGCTCGCAGAAACTGCCTCAGGCGGCTGTGGCATCTCTAACCAGGGCACCAGCAGAAGAGGTTAAATGAAACGTGAGCCAGTTCTACGGAATGCTTGAGACGAGACATTACGATCAGCAGTGCGAGGGCGAGGACGCCGAGTACGAGATATGATGACGGATGGAATAGTTTTTGGACTGCCGTCCTTTCCCTTCGGACTACCACCCAAGCACGGTAGGTCAATTTCCTGGCTGAGAAGTTATGAATACGGATACACTGATACGCACACCAGACAAGAACAACAGCTCAAACAATTATTCCATCCGAAAACGTGGCGCGTACATCTCCGCCGCGTGCCTTTCACATGCATTACAGCTCACATTGCTTTAGTGATTGCACGAACAGAATGGTTGTGCGTGCGTAAGAGTGGTGCCGAGGCGGCCGGGGTGCTCTGCGGCGAGGCGCCTCACCGGATCGGTGACCAGCGGCCGGGCCGAGCCGCCCCCCCCCCCCCCCCCTCCCTCTCCCAAGGTGCTCTGCAGCAGCCCCTCCCTCCCTCTCCCAGGGTGCTCTGCAGCAGCCCCTCCCTCCCTTTCGCAGGGTGCTCTGCAGCAGCACGCCTCACCGGACCGGTGACCAGCGGCCGGGCCGGGCCGCTCCTCTCCCCCCCCCCCCCCCTCCTCCCACGCGGCCGCGGTGATCCGCAGCAGGGTGCCTCACCGGACCGGCGACCAGCGGCCGCCCCCCCCCCCCCCCCCTCCACTCCCACGCGGCCGGGGTGCTCTGCGGCAGGGTGCCTCACCGGACCGGTGACCAGCGGCCGGGCCGGGCAGCCCTCCTGGCTCAGCGTCAGCGTCAGCGGCTGCGGCCGCGGCAGCCGGCCCGCGCTGGCCGCGCACACCGAACGGACGAACTCCTCCAGCACGACCAGCATCTCCTCGCCGGTCAGCCAGCACGGCAGACGCACCTCCAGCTGGGTGGCCACCGCCTGCCGGCCACGGCCGTTAGTCACGGCAGACGCCGAGGCTGGCCCGGCCCGGTCACCAGCCGGGCTGACCTAGCCACGGCTCGCTGACGCCGGGCCCAGTGTAGAGCCAACATGAGCACATCGTCCCACAGCGCTGCTCCGCACATGGCGATTCCATACACGCATTTTCGATCGCAATATGATTTTTTTTTTGCTTCGTGTTTGAGACAATTTTCCACATGTATTTTTTTGCGTTGCTACTTTCAATGCAATGTTGCATAGCCCTAAGTTTCTGACATTCTACGAAACATCAGATGTTGTTTTAAAATGTATTTTCCTGTCGTAAAGTGCAACTGATGCGATAGTTACGAGCCGAAAACATGGGCGGTGCAACGAATTCAGAGCAGATGAAACAGCACAAGTTCTACGCAACCCTATGGACTGTCACTGGTCTGCGTCACCGCAACCCCATGAACTAAAACACCACTGTAATACAAGTATCACTATCGTCTCTATCTCTCAGAGGGTCCATGCTGTGCAGAATTATTACGACACCCGGACACAAACTTTGGCAAAAGGGCGTTACGAAATGAGACACGATCAGATGTTTCAGCTCTCCGCATGCTTCAGTTTTCAGTACAGTATGCCCAACCACGTACGCGCACAATATGCCGCGTCTATCTCCAACGGACAACTCCATTTCAGCCGCCATCGCACTCAGCCATGGGAGCGCGTACATCTGACAAAGGATATGTCTGGCTAAATCCTGGGACCGGCCCGCCCCGCCCCGCTCCCCACCTGCTGCCGAGGGTAGACGCCCTGCAGCAGGCCCTGGTTGTACAGCAGCCGCACGCGGTTGAAGTGCTTCAGCCGCAGGCGCAGCAGCAGTAGGCCGCGCAGACTGCTCGGCTCGAGGAGGAGGCGGCGGCGCAGCGTCAGCTCGTGCACGCGCAGCGCCAGCTCCACCAGCGGCGCCGCCAGCGCGGCGCGCAGTGTGTCGCTCATCAGCTGGCCCAGCTCTGCCGGCGGGCAGGCGCCAGTGAGCGCAGCCGCAGGCGCCGGGCAGGGCCGCACACGCGCGCCTGGGACGTACTGGCGGGTCGCGACCCGGTGAGAAAGAGTTGTCCCGCATTGACGGCAGGTCCAACCAATCGCTAACGCCCGGCATATGACTACATTCGTCTGAAGACAGACTCGGTTAACTCTTCATTGAGTGAGCGCACCCGTGCTCGCCAAGTAAGATGACAAGTACACACGACGGTCAACAGCTCACAGATGTTAAGGCTTGTCTGGAAACGGTCACGTAATTTCTTCATGGCGTGAGCGTACTCGGGCTCGCCATTCCAATCAATAATGTACTGGCCCTCGTCGCGGCGAAGGCGCTCAACAAGCTCAATGACCTAACATCTCATCCCACCCATTTGTCCGCAAGACTGCTCCAGTGACGCGGGACCCCAGCCGACCATTCCACCCATATGTGAGCACGGAACCGCTGTCGCCGAGCTGCGAGCATCACTCACCGACCAGCCGCTGGTAGCCGGGGCCCAGCAGGCGGGCGTGCTGGTCCTCCTGCTCACCCAGCCAACAGAACAGCACGCCGGCGGCAGGCAGCTGCCGCTCGGCCACCAGCCGGCGCTGCAGCAGCGTCAGCAGCTCCAGCAGCTGCGACAGCTCCGGTGCACTCTCCGTCGGCAGGAAGCCGTGGCCTGTGAACCACGAGCAGCGTGCCCGCGCTGTCAGAGCTGCAGGCGGCCCACTACCCCGGCGGACCGGGTCACGGGACACGCACGGTCAGAGCTCCAGGCAGCCCGCTGCCCCGGCGGACCGGGTCACGGGACACGCACGGTCAGAGCTCCAGGCAGCCCGCTGCCCCGGCGGACCGGGTCACGGGACACGCACGCCTCAGCTTCTGGCTGAGCTGGACGCGACGCTGGTGCTGCCTCAGTGCACTGATGACGGCTCGTCGCTGGTACCGCCGGTTGCGCCGCCTGGAAGGGGAAGCGGACAGGCGGAGAACTCACCCCTGGTGAACTCGAACGCCTCGATCAGATGGCCAGACCGCACGAATGCTTCGAGCACGACCAGTTTGATTTGGAACTTGGAGCACTGTTCCTCGCCAGCCGGCTGCGGGGAAACGAGCACAGCACTGGTCAGGCGATGGCCCGACAACCGCAGCGCCATGCACCAGCGACGGGTCCTGCCCCAGGCCGCGTTCTGGGTTGCTGTACTGAGCGATGATTTAATAGATGCATGACAGCGAGTTAAATGGAAATAAACGAGTGAAAAGCTTGGGCCAAGGCAAAACTAGACTGAAATATCTGTATCAGTGTTGAAATCATGCTCACAGTTCTCCGTTATGTAAAAGCTTATGATGACAAACAATCAAAACATACGCACCAATATATCCAAATATCCGACATTCGCCCAACAAGTCGACCCTTTCGCAAAAGCCACAATATAACTGGAGACTGGAGTTATATATAAGTGGAGATGGACCGCAATCGGTGATTACAGAACACAGCACTGCAGCTGACTGGGGCGCCCCGCCGACACCCACTGACCGCGACATGGACATCCAGGCTGGCGCCGCACGAGCGCATGGTGACGGCCACCAGGTGGGCGTCGTGCCAGGCGGCGCAGGCGGCAGCGCGCAGCAGCAGCGAGCCGCCCAGCGCCTGCACGGCCCGCGCCTCGGCCGGTACCAGCGGACCAGCGCCTGGGGGCGGCCGGCCACGTCAGACGGCCGCCTCGCCGCCGCCGCGACTGACACGGCCGGGGCAGAGGCGCCTCACGTCACATCAGCGCTGAAAGGCAGTACAGCCTCCCGCCGGACGACTGTTATTGTTATGATGACACTCGCGACCAGGCGACTCTGCTTACCCCTCACCAATCTTGACATGGAAACGTCGTGTGGTAAGTGTATGGGCCCCATGCAAAAATTTTCGGTAAATCGCGTTTACTTTTCGTTTTTTCTCATTTATACGTACTCAAATTTCCTCATGTTTTATCGATGTCTAGTCAAGACTGGAACGTAAAGCCAGGCAGGGACATACGATAAAGCGCCCTTAGTTCGGAGCACCACAGCGTCCAGCAATTACACGTCTCTCGTCCCAGCCACAAGTTTACACGGCACGGGTCAATCCCAGCCAACGGTCACATGGTACGGGTCGGTCCAGCCAACGGTCACACGGCACTGGTCGGTCGAGCGAACGGTCACATGGTACTGGTCGGTCCAGCCAACGGTCACACGACACGGGTCAGTCCCAGCCAACGGTCACATGGTACTGGTCGGTCCCGCCAACGGTCACACGACACGGGTCAGTCCCAGCCAACGGTCACATGGTACGGGTCGGTCCCGCCAACGGTCACACGACACGGGTCAGTCCCAGCCAACGGTCACATGGTACGGGTCGGTCCCGCCAACGGTCACACGGCACTGGTCGGTCCAGCCAACGGTCACATGGTACGGGTCGGTCCCGCCAACGGTCACACGACACGGGTCAGTCCCAGCCAACGGTCACATGGTACGGGTCGGTCCCGCCAACGGTCACATGACACGGGTCACGACAACGGCCATAGCGTACGTACGTTTCAGCTCGGTGCAGAGCTGCTGGAAGGCTGAGCCCAGGCGCGGCCCGCTGCTGATGAGCGCCTGCAGCAGGCGGCGCAGGCTGGTCGGCTGCCCAACGGCCACCGCAGCGCGGAACTCGGCCACCAAGCCGCGCACGTCCTGGCCGAGCAGCAGAGCCGGCTCTGCCGCGCCCTCGGTCGGCGGCGGCGGGCTGGCCAGCCCCGCCAGCTGCTGCACACGGTGTCTGACGCGCTGCAGCAGCTCCGACGGCGGCGACTGCCCCGGCCGGCCGCCCTCCGACCCCGGGCCGGGGATGGTCAGACGGTGAGCGGCCAGCGGCAGCACGGACCACGGCCGCGACGCCGGCGGCACGGTCGGCGGGCTCGAGCTCGGCTCCGACTTCACCCGCCGTGGCGGCACCGCGTCCCAGGTGGCAGCAGAGTCGCACGCCCGCAGCACGGCAGGCGTCGGCCCCGGATCGTGCAGCAGCGGCGGTCGCGGTCTAAGCTTGGCCCAAGGGGGCCCCGCCGCTGCGTGACCGGCCAACGGGGGCCGGCCTGACACCTGATTGGCCGGCTGCGGGTGAGCCGGCTCCTCACTGGCTGCCGACGGTCGGGTCAGCTCGCGGTCGCCGTCAGGCTGCGAGCTGTCCGGCAGCCGCAGCAGACGCTGTAGGACGCCCGCCGGCGAGTGCAGTCCTCGCCGCCGCAGCTCCAGCAGGTACGCCGCCCTGTCAGAACACACGCGCACTGCTGACCAGGCACGCACGACGCGGCTGAGTCGCGAGTCGCGCAGACAGCGCCGACCACGTACCGCGCAGGTCACACTCGCGCACACACGCAAGCACATGGCGACGTTGAGGGGCTCGCTGCTCAGGCACCCGGCGTATGTCGTGCCTTCCGTGCACTCCGCTAACACAACTCCGACCATGGACGAACGCGGCGGCCGCCGGCGGCTCGGTCCGCGCGCGGCCGCGCCACGCGAGCCGCACCTGACATCGGGCCCGGCCTGGCGCAGCAGTGTCGGCTGGCGCGCCACGAAGCGGGCCGTGCGCTCGAGCAGCACGGGCCGACTCAGCGTCTGGTGTAGCGCGCCGTCCAGCAGGTCCGCCGGCGGCTCCAGCCCGAACTGTCGGAGGCGCCGCGCCGCACGGTTCACAGCGGTGCATCGAAGGGACATGAGCACTGCTCACGCCCGTACTGGGGCAGCGACGCTCACAGCGGCGCACGGTGACATGAGGCACAGCTAGCACACCGTGCGGAGGCGGGCGATGTCAAGCACAGTCCGCACCGGTGCAGAACAGGCCAACACACGGCTCCCGGCAGAACAGCGACAGCGACATGTAGCACGGCTCTGCACGGCACAGGGTCAGAGATAAAGCACGACTAAAGATGGCCGTACTTGACAGGGTTGCTATACAATGATCAGGTTTGACTCGCGCTAATCACAGTCAGCGACCCGAGCCATGGCCCATACAGCAATCAGACACACCACGTACCGTGTCTGACTTCGGTCTGCTCCCGAGAGACGTGGCACCAGCGCGATCAGCTCCTTAGCATTACGCCAGGAGCGCTCGGCCGACATCATCACCACGAGCCACTCACACAAACATCAGCAGCAGTCCCTACCACCCACTTCCCCCCCCCCCCCCTCCCGAAGCGCGTCTGCCGCGCCGTCGCGGGCTGACCGTCATCATCCTGGTGAGAGTCTTCCACGTGGCCTCGACGGCCGCCGACCGGACGCAGAGCTGGAGCAGCCGGTTCCAGGTGGGCGGGGACAGCGACAGCGGCGAGCCGATCACCCAGCCGACCAGCACCGTCAGCGGCCGGATCAGGCCGGCGTCCGGCTCCTGACGACCCCGCTCCGGACAGTCAGCCGCGCCGTCCAGCCGCTCACGCTCCCGAACAGTCAGCCGCGCCGTCCAACCGCTCACGCTCCCGGACAGTCAGCCGCGCCGTCCAACCGCTCACGCTCCCGGACAGTCAGCCGTGCCGCCCAGCCGCACACGCTCCCGGACAGTCAACCGTGCCGCCCGGCCGCTCACGCTGCCGGACAGTCAGCCGCGCCGACCAGCCGCTCACGCTCCCGGACAGTCAACCGTGCGACCCGGCCGCACACGCTCCCGGACAGTCAACCGTGCCGCCCGGCCGCTCACGCTCCCGGACAGTCAACCGTGCCGTCCAGCCGCACACGCTCCCGGACAGTCAGCCGTGCCGCCCAGCCGCTCACGCTCCCGGACAGTTAGTCGCGCCGCCTGGCCGCACACGCTTCCGGACAGTCAACCGTGCCGCCTAGGCCGCACACGCTCCCGGACAGTCAACTGTGCCGCCCGGCCGCTCACGCTCCCGGACAGTCAACTGTGCCGCCCGGCCGCTCACGCTCCCGGACAGTCAACCGTGCCGCTCGGCCGCACACGCTCCCGGACAGTCAGCCGTGCTGCCCAGCCGCTCACGCTTCCGGACAGTCAGTCGCGCCGCCTGGCCGCACACGCTCCCGGACAGTCAGTCGTGCTGCCCGGCCGCACATGCTCCCGGACAGTTAGTCGCGCCGCTCGGCCGCACACGCTCTCGGACAGTCAACCATGCCGCCCAGCCGCTCACGCTCCCGGACAGTCAACCGTGCCGCCCGGCCGCTCACGCTCCCGGACAGTCGACCGTGCCGCCTGGCTGCACACGCTCCAGAACAGTCATCATGATCTAAGGGATGCACTTAAGTCACGCACGCTTTAACTTTGAGCCCATCGGAAAACAAGTAGATGAAGTCACGACATGTCTAGTTTGGCGGTGAAAACCGGGTAAAAGTTGGAACATCAATCAACTAATTGTATATACTGTGGCAGCCATCATTTTGAGAAATTCTGGCCAACCAATATTTTGGCTACTGCGGTCTGGTAAGATATTGAGAAACTCCAGGGATTGGCAAACATTGAGAAATTTGCCAGGATGTCGGGAAATGGTTTTGCGACTGGAATCTGAGAATAGGCCTGAACTAATTCATTGAACTTGAAGATACCAAAGATGCATGTTACACTCAACCATCAATATTAAATCTGTTCTGGACTCTTCATTCAAGATT